GCTCCTAGAGTGGGCAGGTGCAGGGGGAAGGGACCTGTAAAGTTAATGAAGGATAGTAAAAATCAGCAGTCACAATGTGTACAATATATATTAAGCAAAATCAGAGGGTGTGGATATGTTACACACCCTCAGCAGTAAGTTTACTTTGCAAGGAGCAGACACACAACCAGCACTGCCCAGCTTAACTGGCTGAGGCAGACATGTAGGACTGAGGCAGGTCACCGAGTAGCAGAGGAGCTGGTTTGCCCCAAGCTACCAGGAGTAAAACTGACAATGGGTGCAGGTTCATGACATGCACTGGAGTTACTTTATTCACAGTAAAACTTACTTCCGACTTTCTTAGAAGGAATGTTCGAATGGAGAATAGCATTCCTTCCAGAATAAGCGTGTGCCAGGTGTGCTCCCTACTTGACCTCCCAAGTGGCCACATTGTGGTGTCCATACCTTGAGATCTTGGATTTTATTTTTGTTGAAACTGAAGAGCAGCTTTGCCATGCAAGCAGTTGGAAGCTTAGAAGTGAAGCAGAGCAGACACGACTCTGCACACAACCAAGTGACTTGAAGGCTTGCAAATGCAGTGTGCAGAGCACTCTGGCCCCAAACTAGTAAAGCACTTGTGCCCATGCTTTAAGTATAAGAGTAGTTTCAACTAATGCACATGCATTAAGTGCTGTGCTAGCCCTGTGCCAGAGAACTCAGCACTTTGTATGACTCAGGCCTAAAATTTTATGGTCAAAGACTGAATGATTAACATCTGCATAGCTTCCCAGCTATATTTAGAGAGGAAGTATTGTGTTCTGATGAGAAAAAACTGGAAGTCTGGGTTCTATTCTTGCCTTTTTTCTACTGACTTCTGCAATCTATATAAAGTCAGCCTCTGTGCACCTGTTCATCCATCTGTGTAACAAGTGCAATAATACTTCCCTACTTCAGGGGAGTGCTGTGAATCTTTGAAATATGCAATGGGATCTTGAGATGACAGCCAGCACTATCTACAAACAGGTCCCTTTCAACTCAAGGCCCCTTGCCCACATCCTAAAAAAGGTGGAACACCCCTATTTGGGAGCTGATTAATGCATCCTTGGGATGTCAGTTGGGAACAGCATACAAAGCCCTTGTTTTCAGAGAAAGGGCCTGCAAACATCAGTGATTCCAAATCAGAAAAAGAAGTCAGAATTTAAGACACTTCCCACCAGTGCAGCAGTACACTGTATTGTCAAAGGATCACCAGATCCAGAACAAAAGCTGCCCCTCCAGGGGAGAGAGTGTAGGCTTGTTGCATCCAGCTACAATATAAAACATGGAACATAGCTGCCAGATTAGGAAAACTGGCCCATGGCTCTAACAACTAAAGCCTGGTATTACAGCTTAAGATCACAGAAGTCATTTGTAGAGCAAGCACGGAAGCTAAAAAACACTTTATAGAATGGAGTTAACAAGGGTAAAATATTCTAATAATACTCTGGGCCAGGATCCTCAGCTTAGGTCAAAATACCCAGAGCACACTTAGGAAAAATAAAGAGAGAGTGCATACAAAGGTGGCTTAGAGCTCACTTTTATACTGCCCTGAGCCTGGTGGAGGGCTGCTCCCACCTCAAGTGGGAAGAAAAACCTTAAGTCTATTTTAACTTACACTGATGTCCTTACAAGCTACCAAATACACAACCAGGGTTCACTATGGAATAGACGGCCGTAACTACATCCTCTCCAGCCACAACTCCTTTCCCACCCCCATCCTTGATATACAGACATTGCAGAGAGTCCCCAACATAAGTATCTCTAACTCAAGGGGATAATCCTTGCACTGCAGGATGCAACTATGCCTGGAGTCAAGTAGGCCAGTTTTACAGCCAACATTGTTTTGAATTACAGCACAACTATCTACTACATCACCAAATTTGTTATTATGGACCAACCACGACAATGTTGGTACAGTTTTGACAAGCATACACAATCGTATTAAAGTTTAGCAGGGGGGCTAATGGTGAGCTGCACAGCCCAGCTTGCAGCAAGTAAAGTTTTATCACTCCTGATGGAGGATAAATTGGGGCCCGCAGATGGAAGAGGGAACAAAGTTCTAATTAAGGATGAAATCTGAGCAGCCTGCATCTGTTTTGAACTGCATCTCTATGGCTTGAAGGTAGTGGTTGCCAAGTCATTCTGACATATTTTTGCGTTCTTCAGTGATGTAAAACTGCTCTTGGATCTGAATGGTGGAGCAACACAAACTCTTTCCAACTGAAAAGCCCAGCAGATAGAGATTTTCAAGGCTCTTCCTTCACATTCCAGTACATTTTTACCTTTCCAATACCTTTTACCTACTAGAAGCTGTTTCATACATGCTTAAAAAAACAAACTGATTTTCAACCAGAAAGCAAATCAATACATGCAGTTCTATTAAAAACAAAAATCTTATGTAACCAGGAAACCACATCAGTAACAGCCAATTAAAATGAGTTAGGCTGATTCATACAGAGTCCACAATTTTGAAGTTGCCCTCCAGCAAGAATGGATGCTCCTGCCAAGGGGAACAGCAAGGATAATGCTGAAGATACTTGTTACACATGAACTGACTTATACATTTGATGGACATTTCCTATGTAAAAGCACACAGAAGTTTTGCTTAAATCATGTTGTCATTGCATAAAAACTGAACCTGAAGCAAGAGGCATGCAATCCACTTCTGGTGGCAAAGTAGTAAACTCGAGACTACTCACTCTTTCTTTTGATGTTCCTATTATCACACTGGAGAGTCTGTTTTCAAACAGGTCTTCGGTCTTTAAATTGCCAGCAGCCCCAGGTAATGGAGGAAAGCTGGACAATCCCAGTTCAAAACTAGGAGACGGAGGCTTTGGAGGTGGCGGAGACTGTGTTTGACCTCTCTACAATAGAATTGTGGCATATGGTGAAATTACCATGAGACCACAGAAGGGAAATCAGAGGACTCAAAACATTGAACATTACTGGTTTGGTGCAAAATTATCAAGCCCTAAAATAGCAGAGGTCAGAGCCTTGTGTTTTTATTCTCAACTGGCTCTCTCAAAACATGCAACTCCTTCGATTAAAATCTGTGCTGCCACTGTGGAACAGATCTTGTACACCAATGCAAGCTTCATCATTTTAAATATACAAGTATAGCTAAGCAAGTATTCTCCATACGTGAAACCAGTTGCACTGAAACAGCGTCTCCATTTCACAAAAGGACAGAAGTTGTTCCAGGTACAGAGCATATTTTGCAGTTGTAACCAACTATAATGACACTAGTGGTTGTCCTAGTACAATTATTTTGATAGACAAAAAAAAACTCATCCCCATCCAAAACAGATACAGGTACAAAATCTGTGTGCATAGCAGATTTTGAAAACTGTAACTGCTCATTCAGACATACATATGCATCTCATACTGTACAGTACTTCCTTTTTTAGTAATTGAGTATTTTTACTGAGCTGAATACAAAATAAAATAAGGTTTAGGGCACAACATTTCACTCAGGAGAGAAAGACAACAAGTCAGCATTTAAATGATGTCATGTGCATTGCAAGGTAACTGGCATACTGCAGTGAGAGGCCAAAAGCAGGTGTGATGGGGTATCAACACGCTTTCTCCTGCCACCACTTTGAAAAGTACATAGATCACAGTCTGTAAAGGACTTCCCAGATAACAGTAGCAACAGTATATACAAGCTACATTTCTAAAACACACCCCAACAGTATATTACAGAAATTATAAAATACACCGGTTATTACAGAAAACACTTCCTCAGAAACAACATTGTCTACTTGTCCATAGCTTCAGTTAGAGGCGAGGCTTAGGGCATAAACCTAGGGCAAACTGTATGCTGCTCACTATATTAAGATGATTGCAATGCGCACCTGAACGAGAGAGAAACAGGTCTGCATTGATTTGTGGGCATCTGAAAGCTCAACCAACTGTATCCAGGAGAGGGTTTCCACTGCCAGGGCAGGGTCAGACTGCTTTTAGGGATTATGTCATGCATTTGCACTGTTTTCCCCTCAAACTAGAAGAGCCTGACTTGCCTCAGGTTAACCTGTAGCAAATGCACCTGTGGTCCAAGGCAGACAGAGGTTGTCCTTGTACAAAGGTCAGAGCTAGACAAGGTAACAATTCGGGGTAAAGATTTGTGTGCAAGTGCAATTTTTTTTATGAGCTTTCAACTGAACTAAAATCTAAGATTCCATGCTGCAATCCTGCCTTGCAAACAAGGAAATAGCTTTTCCATAACTGCAATGATGCCAGATAAGAAGAGGAACTGACTCTGAGACTTGTTCCCCAAAAGGTGACACTCTGTAAAGGAAGTCAATTCCTGTTAATTGTTTAAAGCATGACTGCCAATTCATTCTTGTGAACACGGTGCCTCCTGCCACTGAGTTGAGAACACTGACAGCCACCAAGATTAGGGACACTCATCCATGGTCCTTTCCTCTGTGTTAAGGGAGAGGTACAAACGGGGCTGGTTCCAAATACTCCTCCATTCCTTCCCTAATGTGGGAATTCTTTAGCCAGAGACTTCAAACTGGGGTAGGTGTGTAGCAGATTAGAAAAATTAGATGCAACACTTCAAGAATAACAGCTTCTCTATCACCTGATTCATGGGCAATTACTCCAGTACAAGGCCCTCAGAAGATGGGCTGGGGATTTCTAGGCGAACAGAAGACTGAAACTGCCAAAAGCAGCATTAGGTTTGGATGACAGGTCAGAAGCATTAGAGACCACAATTACGCTCTTTTCCATGACAACCCAGCAAGGGACAAGTTTTTGCTTTAAGTGCATGCAGAGCATCAGCCTACAACCTTGCAAGTTTTATTAAAAGATAAGATACTGCTTTCATTTTGGCTGGATACCTTTTGATACATTCAGATGAATGAATTTCAAGCGAGCCGTAAGATACAGAAAACAGAGAAATACAAGCCACTAAATGTGTCTGTTAGAGATGGTTTCAGATAGGAAATGAGGATGACGATACCAATGAAATCTCATTTCTCCTATGAGGAGTTTAGAGGGCTGGGCATCTGGCCCGAGACGTCTTGTTGAGAATATGAAATGCCTTCTTCCTAAGTGTACGATATAGATGACAATGACAAACAGGTCAACTGAAACAAAGCTGTGAAACAAAGCTAACCCCAAAGCGAAAGAGCATGTAGAGCTCTAGAAGTAGTCACAGCACAAACAAGTACAGCACTAATTCATTAATATACATTGTTTGGCTTTTAGTATAGTAGTTCACTTTAAGTGCTTCCTAATCAGAGACCATTTTGAAAGGGTCAGACAGGAAGTAGATAGCTTGTCGTGGCCTACAAGCCACTTCCACTTGGAGTCATAAAGGACAATAAACCAGGGGGCTCTCTCACTCCATACCTAGACAACCTACCAAATTGGTTTGAACATGAGGGCCCAACATCTAATGCTTCTTGAAAATACATCCTAAAGAACAGAGTGCTGACAGGGGTTTTAAAAAAAAAAATCTCATCAAGGGAAACAAGACTAAGACCCTTGGTCACAGGAAGGCATTGGCAGAAGAGCACCTCATGGGTCACCATTACAGGATGGGGATACCCAAGGTAAGATACAAAACATATAGGTTAGTTGTTTAAAAAAAAAAA